CGTTTATGCGAGAGACAGAGCCAGCTCTGAGAGACACTGGGGAGGCAGGAGATGGAGCCCAGACAGTACAGCTCATTGGACAGAGTACACAGCAAAGGGAGGAGTCGGGGGTTTCACTGTGGCAGCTCACAAGGGGTCTGGGAGGGCAGGGGTGCCCTCAATGGAGAGAAAGAAGTTTGGAAGAGGGGAAAAGATCCTAAATTCTGTTGTGGATACACCAGTCTAAGGTCCCTGTGGGATACCCAGCTGGAAATGTTGAACAGATGTCTGATGACAGGGGACTGGAGCTGGGGAGAGAGCTGATGGATAGACAGATGAAGAGCTGAGACGCATCAGCCCAGACATGATCACTAGATCCATGGGACCTGGTGAAGTTACCGAGACAGAAGAAGACAGAAGTAAAGCCTTGGCATACGCCCCGAGAGGAGTGGTGGGGACAGAGGATGATGCAGCAGGGGAGCCCAAGAATGAGCAGTTGGGCAGGGATGGGGAGAGCCCAGGAGCACTGGAATCAGTCCTAAAATATCTCTTTCTGTGATCCGGCACACCAGCCTCCTTGGGCTCCTCACACACAACACTCCCTCTCCCAACACTGGCCGTTCCTCTCATCTCTTTCTCATGTCTTCTCGGACATCCTTCACATCTCACCAAAAGCCCAACTTCTGCATGAAGCCTTTCTCACTCCTTTGGTGTCTTAGTGGGGTCTGGATGAGGTTAGCTCAGTTTCCCCTGACTCTATCCTGTTCACACAGAGCTGTCTGTACACTGTCTCCCCTGTTAGACTTTAAGCTCACTGAGGACGGGAACTGTCTTTTGTCCTTCTTCATCTCTCCAGTGGTTAGTTAGCACAGTGCCTGGCACACAGTTGGTGTTTAATAAATGCTTGCTAGCTTGCTGACTCAACTTCCATAACTGGGAAACCATGATTCTCCCTTTCCTATCGAGACTAAGCTTGCTGGCCATTAATATGACATTTTTCTCACTATCTTAAATATGCAGTTGAAACTGCATTCTTTTCATAACCAAGCCAACTCATCGGGTTCCCTGCCATCTTTCCAAGCAGAGCAAAGGCCATGTTGTACCATCCTTGGTTCTTTTCCTTTTCCCAAGTTCCTTATGCTTTCATGACATTTGTGGACTTGGAAACCAGAGGTTCAAAGGGTTCAGGAGCTCCTTCCACTACCTGGCCATGCACATAATGAGATCCTCTTTCTAATTTGCTTATAAGGCCTTTTTTGGTATGGCCCTGACACCCCAAGCATGAGATTTTTCCAATGTGATTTGCTCAGCATCAATAGAGAATGAGTGCTTCTGTGATAAATCCATCGGGCTTCCTAAGGGCTCATTTAATGCACTCTCAGCCAGGATGGAAAAAAACGAGTATTTCTAGAGAGCAGATGGCAACCAGACAAAATATCTGCGGATCACAGTTGTTGACGGCAATTTTATGGCATATACAGATGTGTCAACTTCAATGCAGCAATTCTGTGGCCAGGAAAATACATTTGGTACCCACAGATTAATTTTTCATAACCCTAGGCTGCACCATTACTACACTTAAAGATTTCTTTGCCTTCAAAAGACATGATTTTATGATTATGGTGCTAAAAAGAATCTGTGTAATGTTCCTTGCAAGGGGCCAAGGGGAGTGTCCAGGGCGTAGTCATGGCCCCTCCTTAGATGCTAAAGATAATTCAGAAGAAAGATTATCAGGGGATCCTAAGCTGAGGTCAATGAACTTGGTGTTATTATCATTACTATTGTTGTTGTTTTGATAATTAGACTTAATATAATTGGTTTCCTTTTAAATTTAATTTTTAATGCATTTAAAAACATGATTCAGAGAGCTGTACCACACTGCTAAGAGAATCCATCAAACACACACACACACACACACACACACACACACACACAAAGATGAAGACGCCTGGTTTAGAGCATACACTACCAGATGCTCTGACATCCCCAGGCTCCCAGAGTTGAGTCCTTGCATTTGCCAAGTAGGAGACAATCCTCCCAAAGCACTTCCCTACCTGAAGCAGTGTGGCGCCTGGGAGAGAGTGTTGGGTTTAGAGTTGGAGGACCTGGATTAGAATGGTGGCTTTGTGTCTTATTAACTTGCGGGCAGCAAGAGTCTGCCCTGCTCTGGTTTACAAATCTCCTCAAAGGTAAAATGAATGGTTGAGTTAGATGCCCTGTAAGGTCTCTTTCAGCCATGAATCCTAGGATTCTCCACTATTCTTTCCTGGTCATTTAGGCATTTAAGGTCTCTTTTTCTTTGGTTCTGACCAGTGACTTCACAGGTCCAATATGTCTAACAATGAGAAATTAGAATGAGCTTCCTGGGGGCAACAGTGCTCCCTCTCCTGGGACATCTACAAGAAGAGGTTGGATAGACATTGATTTGTGGAGGCCAATCTTGTTTGGACATTGGTTAAGTAAGGTAACCACTGAGGTCTCTTCTTAGTCTAACCCACAATGTATGATGCCATGAGGACATAAGCAACTAGAAATCCAGGAGGCATTCAAGTAAATAGGAAACTGAAAATCCTCTAGAAATTCCACATAAAAAAAGTTAATACAACTTTATTTTTCTTTCTCATAAAAGTAACCCAAGGGATTGCTTCTGCTCTCTCTCTCTCTCTCTCTCTCTCTCTCTCTCTCTCTCTCTCTCTCTCTCTCTCTCTCTCTCTGTCTCTCTCTGTCTCTCTGTCTGCCTCTCTCTGTCTCTGTCTTTGTCTGTCTCTCTGTCTCTCTGTCTCTGTCTGCCTCTCTCTGTCTCTGTCTCTCTCTCTCTCTCTCTCTCTCTCTCTCTCTCTCTCTGTCTCTCTCTGTCTCTCTGTCTCTCCCTCTCCCTCTCTCTCTCTGTCATATAATCTATAGTAAAATCAGATAATCCTGGGAAAAGGAAGTTGCGATTTCTCTGTTTGGCTTTTTGAGGCACAACTCTCTCATCCTGACACTAGCTAGCCTCCTTCATTGTAGGCGCAGCAGACAGGTAGGATTATTGCTAATATCATTTATTTCAAACTATCTTCTTCAATGACTTCACATAGTTGTATTTATTAACTGCATATGCATTCCAATATGTAGGTACGTACATGTGTGTGTCCCACTAAAGTCTCACCATTTGAATGTAATCCCATCGTGGGTAGGATTGCTTCACTCCTGGCACTCCCTGTGTCCCCAGCACCTCGCCTGGGATGTAATAAGCACTCAAACACTGTGTGACTGACTGGCTGATTGACTTGAGATGGGGTCCAACCACGTTAAGTGACTCTCCAAAGGTGCACAGTCAGTTTGGGAACCAAATCCGAGCTAGAGCTGGCTTGGAGCACAGCACCAGATGTCTTCAAGGCCATCTAGTCTAAGTCTTGCCTTTTACAGGTGAGGAAGCCTTGGCTTCCTCAGTCAATCTCACACCATCCAATTCAATGCAATACAACAGATACTGTGAAGCTCCTACCATGGGCAACAACACATCATGGTAGGCACTGGTGAAACCGGGCCCCACCAAATGACGCCAGTGCCTTCGGGGAGCTTCTATTCTGTGGGAGGCTGAGAAATGAGGAGTCTCTAGTGAGCTGAGGGAGACTCCTGCCCAGGAGAGGGGATTCCCGAAGACTTCCCAGAGGATGTGACATTGGAGCTGAGCTGAAGGAAGAGAAGGTCACTAAGAGGAGACATCAGGAGGAAGTGCACCCCAAAAAGGCCACAAACCTTCCACCAAGCAATAATGATTAAATGATGTGCAAGATTGTGTGGTCTGGGCGGGGCACACAAATACAGAACCAGGGAGAAGAGTACTCTGACCCACTAGAGGGGCCAGAAGCTCAAAGATATGCTATAGATATGTAATACATCCATACACGTGATAGGAATGTATGAGTATACATGCACACATGTGTGCACACATATATACATTCTCATCAATGACCTGATTCTTCATCATCTCTAAAGACAGACTTTTTTTTGTCATTGGCAAGGATTACTTTCTTTGACTTCCAGACACTATTTCAAGCATCAACAGAGAAAACAACCTTTATTCATCAAAGACACACTTGAGAACCCTGAGAAAGATGTCTAGAACACTCCCAAGAGCCCCTGGGCTGCATCCCCCATGAAGCCATTTCACTGGGAAGACAGGAGAAGCACCCAAAACAACAAAGCATCACAAAAAGTGCCCTTCAGATCCCACTTCAGGATATTCTTCCCTCCTGGTCACATCAGTGCACACCAAGCACCATTACCTCCATTTTACATTTTAAGTGAGACTTTCAAAGTGGTATGACTCACTCAAGGTCACCCTTTAGTATGGAGCTGGTCATACTAACTGATGGCTTCTGGCTTCAAGTCCAGCGCCCTCTGACCCCCAGGTACTGCTCCAATACCTCAGCATGGCCTAGAGGGGACTCCTGGTTCTCTGCCAGTGGAGTGTCCAATTTGGAAGGTGTCACCAAGATGGAAGAGGACCCATTGACACCCACAGTGTTTCTCATTGGACGACCCACTGAGCTATATTCCAGGAGGGCCATTAGCAGAACTGGCCATCAAGAGAAGAATGTGGGGCCATTTTGCACCAAGGGGTGGAAGGGTTACAGTGTGCATTGGTGGAGGGAATACCCCACAGTGTTACAGCCATGGCTTTCCTGAAGTGTGAGAAGCAGTGAGGGGCACTGCAAAGACCAAGAGACTGGGCATGAGGGACCTGGATTTGAATCCTGCTGCCGCCATCTACTACTTCTATGACCTTGGGCAAGTCACACATCTCTGGGTCTCAATTTGTTCAAATGTATAAGGAGAGTATTAGACTGGAAAATCTTGAAAGTTCCTAGTGATTCTACAATCCCATGGCCTACACAGTGCGAAACTGGGAGGAACATTTTATATACCATCTATACACACAGGAAAAACACAGTACTCCAACTTAGACCAGGACTAACGGCCTTCATACAAGTGATGGTCATACATGGGCCGCCAAGGTAAAAAGAGCAGCTTACCTGAGTCATAGGCAAAGTCTCTAGGCTCCTGTTTAATCATCAGAGGTGGGGGGAAGCTGGGGTTGGCTGCACTGCCCACCAGGGTGGTGTGTTCATAAACCGGATCATGGTACTCCTGCTTAAAACCTTGGGGCGGGAAGGGGATGTTTGGCTCAGACATCTGGCGTTGGTACATTGGACGTCCTTCCCTCGGCATCGTAGGCAAAGGTGGAAAGGAATTACAAGGCTCAGAAAGCTGGCGTCGAAATCTAGGACAAAAGGCAGAGGACACTGAGACCACTGGACATTAAAGTCAGGTGAGCATTTGGCAAGATGGCGCTGGGAGACTTGGGATCATTCCATGAACATCGTGCCTTTAGACAAAAGAGAGACAGGAACTAACCAGGTCAGGGAAACTGACCAAAGAACAAATTCAAATCCATTCACTTTATTAAGCACCTACGGGGGCCAGGCAACATTCTAGATGCTGGGGATGCGAAAGCCCCTCTCAGAACTTTCATTTAACCCAGAGAAACAACATTTATGGAGAAAAGGCAAACATTACAAAATATGTACAAAGTAAATTCAAAATAACCATGCCATCTACCACACGTGGCATTCTGCTTCCCACGTCTATGTAGGAAGGTTGTACAGGTTGGGTCCCCTGCCAGGAATGCTTGTCCTCTTCACCTCTGCTTCTTGGAATCCCTACGCCTAGCCCAGGCTCAACTCAAGTGCACTCTGACAGGATGTACTTCCTTCCTGACTCTGGCCAGTCTTACCAATCGCTTCCTCTATCTGGGCTACTTCCCATGGCAGAAAGAATGCTCCTGGAAGGCAGGGCCTATTTATTTCATTTTAGTCTTTATAACCCTACCACCTAACACAGTGGCCAACACATAGCAGGTGTTTAATAAAGGTTCACTGACTTGAATCGAAAACACTAGCAATGAGAACACTAGGAAAGGTCAGGAAGGATTTTGGAGTATAAACCAATGGCCTCTGAGAGACCGCTGATGAAGGAATAAGTTACCCAAACCGTGCTGACCAAGAGGGGAGGGCCTCGGGGTGCACTGAGATGGCTCTTTTTTGGAAATAGCCCCTGCAGGAATTTGTTTGCTTGACTTTACTCATATTTGTTACAAAGGTTTTGTTCTAATTTTGTTTTGTTTTGTTTTCCCCACAATGGTGGGGAAAGGCGAAAAAGAGAGAAAACAAATTTTTATTAATCTGGAAAAAATAAATTAAATTTGAAGGTCAGCTTTGTATTCCATGACAGTACTCAGAATACAGTGGGGGCTTAATAAATGCTGCTTTAAAAATAACCAACAAGTGTTTGGAAATATTACCAAGCAGTAAAAAATGGGCCCAATATTTGAACAAAGACATTTAAATTGAATAAACCTTTACTGAAACACAATTGAGACTTTATTTCAGAAACTAGCATGGCCACCCCAATGAGTCAAATGGAAATCTGAAGAAAACCAAGAAAGGGGCAGGCCAGAGAATCCATGTTTGGAAGGGAACTCCCCTTGTCATTTCACTGCGAGTGCCCTGCCAGAAGAGGCCTTCCAAACTGACCTACATCTAGCAGAACAACTGGGGGGTTCCAGGATGCCCCCCAACAGCGGGGATCAGTGACATACTCTGAACTTTCCTGATCTCTACTTCACTGGCCCCCCATAGATGACGGAATTGTAAAGAACAGTCAAGGAGACAATGAGATGATTGCAATTGTTAAAGGAGAACCCTAGTTCAGTGCAGAAACCTCAGAGGGAGGGAATAGTCCTGGTTGTGAGAATGATTTTTACACAACTGAGTTGTTTGTGTTCTGCAAGAAGAGCTAATTCAGGTCGGTACTATAGGGACCATTTCTCCACCCCAAACACATGTATTCTGGTACAGATGGAGCTTCGGGCTCTCAGGGATGCTTTCTCCAGAGCCACGAGTGTGTCAGAAAAGGACACAGGCCCTCAAGCTCCTTGAACAAGACTAACTGTGGAAGGAAAGCACGGGCATGGATCTGACACTCCTGAGTTCCTCAGATCCTTGTGCCAGCTGGGGGAGTACAAAGCAGGCCAGGCAGGGCTCCAGGTCTGGACTGCACCACCGGGCTGGGGAAATGTGCCAGGATGTTGGCCCAAGGAAAGAAGGCAGGGTGCTGGTTGGCAGGCCACTGAGCATTCCCAGAGCCGGGCAGGGTGCCTGCTTGGGGACACAGCTCCAAGGAAAATGGCTGCTTCCAGAGCATCTTTGCCATTTGCGACCGAGAGGTTGTTGCTTTCTGGCCCTGGCTCTCCCGAGAGCTCCTCCAAGTAGACATCCGGCCTCAGAGATTGGCAGCTGGTGCCGGCCTCCTCACACAGAGAGGGGCCAAGGGAAAGGACCCCGCACCTACCGTGGTGGTTCCGGGACAGCTGTTCCCACTCTCAAATACTCAATTTCAAGTAGAAATACTAAAATGAACTTGGTGAAGAGGCTGTCACTGAGGTAACTTAAATATTAACTAGAAGCCTGCTCAGCAAACTGTACAATAAAGAGGTTCTCCTGGGGTGCAGGGCTTACTCAGCACTCATCTTTTGTTTGCGTTTTTTTTGTTTTTCTTTTTTTGCTTTATAACTACTGGTTTTATTTTTGTTCATCAAAACACATGGAAAATGGGAATAATCTACTTTGCTTTCAGAATTGTTTTTCTCTCTAGCACCTCTCCAATTGCTTGTTATCAACAGATTTTATTTCCAATCACCAGAAGCTGTGACTTTGGGGAGTATGATGATTAAAGATCTTTAAGAATTTGGAAAAAATACTAAGAAAATCTCAAGTTGAAAAATGTGAAAATGTCTGGGATTCAAATCTCCAGTGCTTTCCCCCACTATTATTTTTCTTTTTTTAAAAGTTTATTAATTTATTTTGATTTATCAACAATCACTTCCATATGCTTTTGAGTTGAAAATTTTCTCCCCCTTCCTCCCCCCCACCCTCCCCCAAGACGGCGCACAATCTGATATAGGCTTTACATTTGCATTCCTATTAAACATATTTTCACATTAGCTCAGCACTCATCTTTTGATCACATTTTATGGCTTTTAACAGTCTCATGGATGGTTAATGCAACTATCATTGTGTCATTTTAGAGATGGAGAAAGGGGGAGCACAGAGAGGGAAGGGACTTGTCCGAGGTAACCAAGCTAGGGAACGTCACTGTGATAATGGAAATTATCCAGGTGCAAAGGAATTACAAGGTTCGGAGAGCTGGTGTCGAAATCTAGGGAAAACAGCAGGGGACACTGCCTGGAAATGGAGTCACAGGCCCTGGATTCCAATCCCTGGGCTTCCTGTGTGACCCAAAGCAAGTCAGCGACCCTCTCTGGGCCCCAGTGTACAAGGTAAAGACACATGATCTCTAAGGGTCCTTTCAGCTGTAGAACTCAGGGTCCCTGACGAGAATCCAGTGTAATAACCAGAAGGATGATGACGCTAGCATCTTGACTTGACTATGCTGCCTCATCTGGTCCTCACAACAACCCTGAAAGGTAGGTGTTATTGTTGTCCCCATTTTTCAGAAAAGGAAACGGAGGCAGACAAAGGTGGAGTAATTTGCCCAGGGTCAGAACGGTTATGCATGGAAGGGCTGAGATTTGAACCCAGGTCATCTGACTAACTCCAGGGCACTTTCTGGCCTGGGAAGTCTCTGAAGCAGGACTGATTCAGGTGTTCCTGATTCAGAGTCTGGCGCTCCACATTCTAACCAAGCTAGACCCATTTGTAGGACGGGCCAGGCCAGAGGCAGGCACAGGTGGCTGTCCAACAGTTGGACGCGCTCTGTTCAGAGAGGCTGATTGTGGGGCTGGGCTGACTGAGGCTGAAGCATCTCTTGCCTGTAGATTCTGGCCAAGCTGTCCTGGGCTTGCTCTGCCCATTGGTGGAAGAAATAAAGAGGGCAGCATCCATGTGCAGGGACCACAGAGAGACAAGATGTACGGCCATTCATTTCTGTGTCACTGAACGCCTCCACCGTGATGTACAGGGGAGAGCATAAATTTCAAGGGCAGGGCTGGCATAGCGTCTGGCACGTGGGGGGAGCGTAATGATGTCACTCAACTGAATGGAATCGATGGCCCTGGGGCTGGGCTTGGAGGAAGCAATTAAGCAAGTGAGCAATCGGTAAGCCCTAATTAAGGGCAGATTACGTGCCAGCCCCAGGACAAGGCCTCCTGGCCTCAAGAAGCTTACATTCTAAGGCCAGAGATGATATTCCAGCCACTTCATATAGACAAGATCTATGCAGAGGGGACTGAAGGTGATTGCAGAGGGGCCAGAACTAACACTGGAGGGAGCAAGGGCACATCAGGAAAGAACAGGGTGTCTGAACCTGAGTCTTAGAGGAAGTCAGGGAAGCTAAGAGGCAGAGGTGAGGAGAGGGTGCATGCCAGGAACATAGGACTACCCGGGCAAAGGCCTACAAGTGGGAGATGGATTTCTGTGCAGAAGGGAGCCCTGTATTCCAATTCTGCCTTTATTTACTCGCTATGTGAACCTCAAGCCATCCCCTAAGCTGAGAGATGTGTGGATGAACATCCATCAGATATAATCTCAGCCTCGTGGTGTGCTGACATGCAGATACAGACCTAATGCTGCATGACCCCCAGGCACGGATGAAGAGAGGTGTAGACACGCATCAAAAAGTTCAATAAGATAATCTAAAAGATAGATGAAGTCATTCAATTTTAGGGCAGAGAAAGAGTCACTTTCAAAAATGCTTTTCATTGAAAATTTTGTATATACATAGAATGTGAGTGCTAAAAAAAGAAAGAAAAGAAAGAAAAGGAAAAGAAGTTAATCTAGTAGAATTGGAAGTCATTCCTTCACAAGAAATCTGAGGGTCACCTTGCTCACCGGCCTATGGCCAACAAGTCATCTTGCTGGCCAGCATGCAGCATCAGGAGAGTGGGCCAGGAGGCTCTCCCCTACTCCTTCTCTGCCCACCTACCACCCTCCCCCCCACCCGAGCCACCAGACGGGGCCGTGAATACGAGAACACAGGCATGTGAAGCCTGCAGGCCAGTTACCTGTGGTCCATCGGGTAGCTGTTGTCCGGGATGGGTTGGGATGGCGGGAGATGAGCAGGGAAGGCCCGGTCGGGCTTCGGGGTGTGAGCTGCATTCGGGGAAGCATGGTGCAGGGGAGACACCGGAGTGCTGGACGGCGTTGGGGGGTTGGAGGGCCTCATTCCCACTTGTGGCTTCTGATCATAGGCACTGGCAGGAAATGAGAAAGAGCAAGACTTGGCTTGTCTACATCGAAAAAGGAAACGCTTCCTGTGGAGAGGGAAAGCCGGCTTCCTAATGCCGAGGCCGTGCCACGGAGGCAGCAGGACCGCAGGGACGGGCTCCCGCGCCACCCTGCTGACACCCTCCTCGGCGGCAAGATCAAAACTTGCGAATAAATAAATAAACTCTCTCTGTCATGTCCACGTATGGTATTATGCTGAGGGCTTTGAAGTGTATTGTGTGCAACAGATAATATAAGCCAGAGATTATTTGACATTATCTTAGTGAGTGTGTGTGTGTATGTGTGTGTGTGTGTGTGTGTGTGCGTGCATGTGTCTCAATCACCTAAGCTCAAGGCAAAACCACTCCTGGAGACCCCCATTGGCCTTGGTTTTGTGCCCAGGGTCCTCGGCGGGCTCAATGCCACTTCAGTCCTGACTTTCCTGAATGACAGCCATTCTCAAAGTAAGCGTCCACAGGAGAGACATCCGACAGCCTAACCTCCACTCTCTCCCACTACTAAAAGGCAGGGTGGCTCAGTGGAGAGAGACGGAGCCTTTGGATCAGGAAGAGCTGAGTTCAGGTCCTGCCCCAACACAGACAATGGCCTTGCACCTCACCTCTCAGAGCCCAGGCATCTGTCTAAGCTTGCACATCACCGAGTCAAGCCCATATCAATCCACACTGACCACTGAGAGGGTTTCCTCATGGGAACCTCTTTCCACAACAAGGTCACCGAGCATGTCCAAGATAATAACAGCTGCAAAGCTGCACTCCTGTAATCCTCTGGCTTTGAACTTGCCCTCTACAGAGATGACCTCACTGGGCTTGTACCGGCCCTAGGAGGCAGCCAGTTCTACAGATGAGGAAACTAAGGCTGAGTACAGAGCTCGTAAGGGCCTATGGTGGGACAGAAAGCCAGACCTCATTCTACCTATTATACCCCACTGCCTAACAAACAGGTGATGTTTGACAAGAAAGATGGGGCACCGCGAAGGCCAAGAAGAATAATCAAACCAAGCTTCCAATTCTTAGATGTTTTTGGAGGTGAGAATTACTGTGAGAAGGAGATCATTACCTTCAGATGCAGTTAGCCATAGGATAGAGCTGGGCTTGAGAGCAATTCTGGCCCCAGACACCGACCAGCTGTGTGTCCTTGGGCAAGTCACTTAACTTCTGCTTGCCTTGTTTCTTCCACTATGCAACAGGGATCACAGCAGCACCTACTCTTCAGGGTCATTGTGAAGATAACCAAGATACTATTTGTAAAGTGCTTAGCACTGCGCCCAGCGCCCAGCAGGCACTGAGAAACTGTGGTTACTCTCATCATCGTTATCATTATTGATCGTGTTTGATCCTTGAGGAAGCTCCTCTTCCTAACGCCTCCTCCTCATTAGCACCACGCTCCTCAGAAGGAGCGCTGAGGCCCTACAGGGGCCAAGCCGTCAAAGACGGCACCCTCCAAACCCACGGGGTGGCGATTGGCAGGCACAATGGCGCTGTCACGGATCCAGAGCTGGAAACGGTCGCCAAAGACGATGAGCCCAACGCCTTTATTTTACAGATGAGGAAACTGAGGCCCAGAGAGATCGAGCGATGGCCCAAAGAAGAGGAAGGAGGTGGACTTGAACCAGGCTTCTCTGACTCCAAATCCAGAGTTCTTTCTACAGAACCTGACCTCTTCTGTGCCAAGAGTGCTGGGCTTGGGAACTGGGGCAGACTCCCAAATCCTGCCTCAGACGCTGACCAGTCGTGAGAGATGAGGAAAATCCTCTAGCCTTCCTGAGCTTCCATTTCCTCATCTGCAAAACAGACATACTGGGAGCACCTCTGTCTCCCCTAGTAGATTAATAATTAATAATGATAAGTAACATTTATAGAGCAAGTGGATGGAGGAGAAGACAGAGCATGGGGCCTGGAGTCCAAAAGACTCGCCTTCTTCAGTTCAAATCTGGCCTCAGGCATTTCCCAGCTGTATGACCCTGGGCAAGTCATTTACCCTTGTTTGCCTCAGTTTCCTCATGAATGAGTTGGAGAAGGACACGGCAAAGCACTCCATTATCTTTGCCAAGAAAACCCCAAATAGGGTCACAAAGAGTCAGACGCCGCTGAACCGCCAGACCGAAGAACAAAGAACATTTATACAGAGCCTACTCTGTGTCAGACAGTGCGCTAAGCACTTCATTATCCCATCATCTGATCCCACACGAGGCACCAGTTTAGAGCCACCTTCACCCCAAATGTCCCGTGACTGTTTGTGCCTGGCCCGCGGTAGAGCCTGCTGAGCTCGGATTGGTCCAATCAGCCACAGGCAGCACACTGAACCTTGACCCAAACAGTGATGTCATTTCATCCTCTTAGAGAACAGAGGACAATGACCATCATTTGAAGCTCAAAACCACGCTGGGAGAGAGGTGCTGTCATGATCCCCATTTTACAGATGAGGAAACTGAGGCAAACAACGGCCAAGCAACTTGCCCAGCTAGGTGGTAGCCCGTGACCCTTAGATCTTACTGACTCCAAGCCCCGTACACCTCCCACTGCACCATCCTATAGCAACATTCTGGTTCTTCATTTAAAAATAAACCCACAGCCTACACAGGAGATGCCATGAATGTGATGAAAAGACCATCCTCAAAATGGCTTCAAACACATCATCTCTCTTTCTCTGCTCCACCCACTTCAGGACCAGCAGCAACACCTGGCTTCTCCCCAGCTAACAGCCTTCCCAGGGACTCCTGAAACAACGCTCCTTTTACATTGTACTAGGGGCTATGGGCAGGACTCCTAGACCTCTGAAGTGTGGCTCCACACTGCCTAGGGAGCTGCTGTCCCTGCCCATGAGATCCACCATCAAAGGCCAAGTACCCCCCACCCTCCCGTGAAAAGGGCGTTCTCCACTTTTTAAGGCAGAGTGTGTGTGCATGTGTGCATGCATGTGTGTGCGTGTGTGTTTGTGCACGTGCATGTGCGTGTATGTGTGTGTGTGTGTGTGTGTGTGTGTGTGTGTGTGTGTGTGTGTGAAAATCTGACTGCTTTCTCCCTTCAGTCTACAAGGGCTGGAGGGTGCACTGAGGGGCTCCTAAGTGCCCTGCCCAATGCACTCCCCTCGCAGCCAAAGGTTCTGTGCTGACCTTGCCCTCGGCTCAGCCTCTCAGGTCTCCAGAGGTGGCCTCAGCCCTTTATCCCAAGCCTTACCTGACATTGTAGAGGCACTTTTCTCCATAGCTGAATTTAAAGGGCTGCTCTTGACTGCAGGCTGAGCCCAGCTCCGAGCATGGGCTGTGGGGCTCCTTCTTGATTTTCAAGGGGAGGCCATGAAAAGCCACTGGAGAGAAACAAACAGACAGACAGAAGGCAAATGTGGTTAAGTTGGGCTCAAAACCATACCACTCAGTGCTTCCCTCCACTTGGGCAAGGACTCACCAATATGGGAAAGCTAATGCTCAGCCAGCAGAATACACCAAAGAAAAAATGGAGAGAGACAGGTGAGAGGAAGAGAGGGAGGGAGGGAGAGAGCAGGAGAGAGGGAGAGAGAGGGAGGGAGGCAGGGAGGGGGAGGGAGAGAGCAAGAGAGAGGGAGAGAGAGGGAGGGAGGCAGGGAGGGAGAGGGAGAGAGAGAGAGAGAGAGAGAGAGAGAGAGAGAGAAGAGAGAGAGGAGAGAAGAGAGAGAGAGAGAGAGAGAAGATTGGGGGAAGAAACAGGGAAGAAGGGAAAGACAGGGAGGGAGGGGGAGAGAGAGAAAAGGGAGAGAAGGAGGGAGAGAATGGAGGGGGAAAGGGAGAGAAGGAAAGGGGGAAAAGGGAAAGAAAAAAGAGAAGGAGAAAGGAAGGGAGAGGGAGGAAAGAAAGAAAAGACAGAAGGAAAAGAGGGAGAGAGGGAGAAAGCAAGGAAGGGAGAGAAGGAGGGAGGGAGGGAGGGAGGGAGGGAGGGAGAGGGAGTGATTTCTTTGGAAGTTAATGGAAGAAACGAACCCTTGTTTAACCTAGTCTAATCTATCATCACTTTTCCTGTTCAAGTGAATGACACCCCGAGCCCCATCTCATCATTCCTGAGAAGGCGGCAGCCCTCACAGAGGTGTTGACATCCCCACAGTAAACAACGGTCCAAACCGGCCACTCCACTTACTTTCCAAGAAGAAAAACTCTCCTCGTAAATGTCACAAGTAACCGGTGGTTGACAATATGACAATTCATTTCAGACATTACAATTTCAAGTATAAGTGAGAAATTAATTTCTTAAATAGGATCAAAGTTGAACATATCCAAACTGTTGTCTCTGGCTGACATAAAATCATCAGTTGATTCTAAAGTCGAGAGCATTTCATATTAACAAGAAGCCTAACGGCTGACACGGTTCAGCATTCAAGATGTGCAAACTACTTTATAGACACTGTCCCACTGGATCTGGCCCAACCTTGGGGAGGGAAGGGCCACAGTCATCACCATTTTCAAAGGAGGAACCTAGGTGTTCAAGACATTCCTTGCCAGTGCCTGAAGCAGGATTGGAACCCAGGTCTTTCTGCCTGCACGTGCAGCTCCCTCTCTCTCTCTCTCCTGAGCAAGGCCACCATCCATGCTGTCACTTTGTAGGGATCCACTGTAGGCATTAACCTCCTTTCAAAGAAAATGCAGTGTTTACCAGGATGACTGGGATGCACCAGAAACCCCCTTATGCCTACCAGGGAAGGAGCAGGTTCTATTATGTGTCTGCTGGATGACACCTAATTTATGGATGCCTTCGTTAAGAAGTTCTCAGGCTGTTAACTTTCCAATATGGCCCTAAGGGCACCATTTTTATCCAAGTCTAAGCACAAGTTAAACATTTCAAGACACTAATTGAATACAGGATCGTGATTCTCTTGAAGTTAGTGGCACACCAGTGAGCGGTCTCCACAGAGAAGATGGGCACACAGAATGCAGATGCTGGAAAGTGCGGGCACAGCAGAAAGCCCCAGGTTTCATGGGCTGCTACTAGGCCACCCAGAGGAAATCACACCAATCAGCTAACCAATTAAATTGTATTAAATGCCTACTATGTGCCAGGCACTGTGCTAAGTGCTGGGAGGGGGGGATACAAAAAGAAGAAAAAGATCCTGCCCTCGACTGCTTACAATCGAATGAGGAAGAGAACAGGCAAACAATTAGATACAAAGTGAGTAATATACCGATAAGCAGGCAATAATTAAAGAGGGTGTGCACTGGGGAAGGCTTCCTGCAAGAGGTGGGAGTTTAGCTGGGACCTGAAGTAAGCCAAGGAGCTCAGTAGTCAGAGCGGAGGGGGCAGAGATTCCAGGCATGGGGACAGCCAGAGAAAATGCCCAGAGGTGAGTGATGGAGGATCTTGTTTGTACAATAGCCTGGAGGCACCGGTGCTAGGATGCACTCTTCGTGACCCACAGCTGGAGAATTAACCCATAGCAGTTCCTTCTACGTGCACTCAGAAGTCTAAACACACTAGACTTCCTTCTGCTAAACTCAGATGAGACCAAACATTGACCAAGCCCCTCCTCCAGGCAGAGCCGTGTGTTAGGAGGCTGCGGGACTCCTGATGCCTCCAGAGAGTGGCCTAGACCCGGAAGTGTCCACCTAATCACACACCTATGCCAGTAGCATGTCCAGCGTCAGTTTCCTTCCATGTATGAGGAGACGATCAGACAGAAGGACCTTGAAGTTCATCCCATTCTCCACCTTGGATCTTCTAAACACTTTGGGCCTGTTTCCTCATTTAGAGAAAGAAGGAATTTTGAGGCCCCTGAAATCCCAACTACTCCATTCCTCTGATCTGATGAATTCCAAGACTGGGTCCAGTCCTCCACCTCTGACTCTATGCCCTCTTGGCCTCGTAGAAGGAGGGTACGGCTGGCCTTCCAGTTCCATCAAGCACCCCTGCTCTGGGCCTATGACCTGGGAGGTCTTGCCCAGCCCCACCCCACCTCCCTCCACCAGGGCTAAGCAGCTGCTGACAACAGGCACTTTTCCAGCTTGGGAGCAGGGCTAGGAGTGAGAGCAGCACATTCATTTTCTACAATTTGCTTTACCTTCCCACATGGAGTTGGTGCATGTAAAAGGCTGTTAAGTACTAAATTATTCCTTATCAAATCACCATCATCTGGAGTCATGATCAACACTAATTAAATTACTTCTCCGAGCCCGGCTCCAGCCTGCTGCTGCCAGGCTGCAAGGAATGCCTGCCTCTCCGCCCTGGTGAAAAGCCACAGGCCCCAGGCCTCCGGGCCTCCTCTGCAGGACAGCCTTTCCTTTCCCTTCTCATGGGCAGGGGGTCAAGCAGGCAAACACCCCCATTTCCTGTGGCCACAGAGATGCTCCTCTCTGCCTTCAGCAGCTGCAGCTCACCAAATAGATCCCCACCCTCGCCTCAGACACATTTCCCAAGCCGACTTTTGTCACCCGTCAGGCCTCCACAAAGGTATATTTTAGGGAAAGAGAATCAAGGAACATCCCCTTTTTCCTCTGATGCCTGCTTGACCTTTCCAGCCACATCTTAGAGCTGACTAATGATTACTGAGTTATTCTAATCGTCAAGCTGGAGGACTTCAAAATGCCAAGCCATAAAAAAGTCCCCCTTCCCTCTAACCAACCGCATCTACCTTCTGAGTTCACCTGGGGTGACGGCTCTACTGTTTAGAGCATTTTCTAAAGCTTTGTAATTGTTCACATACCCTACTTTGCACATTTTAAAATCATGAAGCCCGAACAAGGCTCCCTTCGTTCTGTAACACTGAGATCTGCTCAACTTTCCAAGATAAAGCAGCCTAGCGCCCAGCCTCAACCCCGGCTGATGGGAGACGCATACTCAGAAGCAAACACGGCCAGACTACCCGGAAAACTCACGAATGGAGAATGAACTCTATAGAAAATACCATCCTGGCCAGTGGCGGCAGGCTATCAGCAAAGGAAGCCAGGCTGGGCGGGGTAGACCGAATCGTCTAACTCTGGTTCTGGGTACAACAATGACCTAATCCATGAACCAAGGTTTTGGCTTCTTATGCTGTGAGGGAAAATCATTTTATTAATTTAAAGAAGAACCACAAGGAAAAGTGTTGCCTGCGGCCGGGTGCCTAATGTGAACATAAGGTAGGAAATCCAAACATACTGGGGCTCACTTTCCTTTACTCCCAAGTACATGGGACAGGGAACACCTACATTTCCATCAACCCTAGAATCTAACCAGGGGATCACCATGGATGGCTGACCCTGCCCCCCTGTGGCAGTCTCTAGCCAGGGCTCAGACTAATGTGATGACCGCTGAAGTACTTGGCTTTTTGGGGAAGTCCCTTCCTTAGTGCAGGTAGCACTCCATTTATACTCTTTCCTGCAACTCAGAGGTAGGAAATGCTTGGACCGTGGACCCCTCCATGGCAATCAGAGTTGGCATTTATCAAATGCTTTCTGTGTTATTTCACTTGCTCCTGGGAACTACCCTGCTAGGCAAAAGCTATTCTTATCTCCACTTTACAAATGAGGAAATGCATGCTAAGTGACTTGATCAGCCACACAGCTAGTGACTGAGGCAGTATTTGAATTCAGACCTTCCTACCCTCACGCCCAGTGTTCTTCTACTGTGCCCATTAGTGACGCGCCTGTGACGCCAAGCTTCCTCCAGCGGAACACTGACTTGCAAACTAGGGCAGGAGGCAGAGTTATCTACACATGGGCATGATCAGAAAATCTCTGGTCGACTTCCCAGGATCCCACTTCCTTGCTTCAGGAGCTTGGGCAACTCACTCTCCTTCTGAATCTCCGCTTCTTTGTCTGCGATATGGGAATCCTGCTTCCAGTCCTCCTACAGACAGGTCCGTTTTCAGAACCCAAGGGCACATGGCGGTGAAGGGCCCCCGGTCACCTCCAGAGTGCTGGAAACAGGGAAGCCGGGGCCAAGGCAGCCGGGACGGAGTCAGCCTCTGGACCAGCAAGGCATTCTGGGTACATAGTACAGAGTACATCAAGGTACTAAGCTGATAACAAATCTCTTTGTCCCTTTTCTTTCATCCTCTTTCTGCATAATTTTGCTTCCCTTAAGTATTTTCCAATAACGTGTTTCATCATTAAAAATATTTTAAAATTATCCTTACTACATTACACTAATGAGAAAAGTCCAGTTTGGGAGAGGAAAAAAGGAAGTAAAATGTCTTTTTAGAAAAGTGCTTCTGTTAGCTTAAAAGCTCATGTGTCTACAGAGCTGCAGAGGTTACAAGAACTTTACCTTGGAACAATCCTGAGGCATGCAGGACACAGATTATTTGCATTTTACGCACAGGAAAACTGAGCCCCAAAGAAGAGCATAACCCACCGTGGGGCAGACAGT